GTCAGGCAGCCGAGTACCAAGTAGTTCCCAAGGCCTTACCAGTTGAAATAAGACCTTAAAAAATACATTAAAGCCTTGGCTTTGCAGCAAATTACATTCCATCCCATTTTCCTTTTTCCCTGCTAACTCCTCTGACAATAATTAGCCATCTCTCTTCCTCTCCTACAGGGACTAACTGCCTTATCACGTCCCACCTTGAAACATCCTGCTCCACTCAGCAGGTACTAACTGCCCTATTCATTCAATTTGACTATCCAGATAATGTAATAAATAAAACCCTGAACAATTGTTTCTAACCTGTAATTTGCTGAAGGCCGATGACTCTCAAAAAGGCCTTGTTTGCTCAGAAACTTGTCATTTTTTTCTGCATGTCAAGTAGGCATTTAAAAAAATGGTTTCTCTCTCCAAAAACTTGCGTCACTTGTCATCACAGTTATCAAAATCCCAACACAAGAAAACACTTTTATATCAAAGAGAGTTTATTATTGTAGCTATGTGCTGGATTATATATTTGCACTATGAAACTCTAGAATTGTAGACAAGGCCAACTGAAAATAATGGGAAAAATGTCATTTAAACAGACTTTATTTTAAGACCTTGATTGAGGTGATATAATTTCTTTCAAAATAATCCTGTTATACCATTCAGTAACAATAAAATGGGACCTTAAAATGAATGCTATTTATATAGACTTTCTTGCTACTCTACACTACAGGTAGAATGTGAAGGGGATTCATCTGAAGACTCAGAGATCAGAAAGGAAGATAGAAGAAAATATAAAAAGTTATTTTTACAGTATCCAAATATTTCTGGAATCTGAGTTCACCTGCCTTACCTAAAACCCAGTAAATTCAGTTCTCTTTTAAACTGTGAGACTGAACACTTTCACTAAGTAATTGAATAAAACTTTTTTTTTTTTTTAAGAACTTCAATTTAATCCTTGGGAAGTTGAGAAAAGAAAGTCACTAAGCATATCCAACATTTTTATGTATGATTCCTGTCACCTGACTGCAGTGCAAAAACTAAGAAAAAAAATCTAACTCGAGATTCTCCAAATTATAGTAAGGGCTTTCACAAATCACCAGCCTCATATTCAAAGATAGATCAACACTTGCAATAGCACTTTGGTAGAACGAGACAGGTATAGACAAGTAAATACTTCTCAAGATGAAGGTATCTCAAATCAGCTTAATAAAATAGCATGTTTGGGTTCTCTATAAAGGGAATGAATTATTAGTTTACATTTTTCTGTCACTAGGTATCTTTCCTTGCTCTTTGATGCTGGCAATCGGTTATTTCCCCAAGGCACTACAGTGATACATTTACATGTCACCACATCCCTCGCTGTGCTGAACTGTCACTCCCAGATTCAACATGGCAGGCCAGCATATAAATTCAAGCATATCTGAGGGCTGACAACTTCTGCCTTACAAATATCCTGCACTCTTCTCAAGTCAGCACAGGGTTTGCTCCACTACATAGAAATACAGCTTCAATTCCTGTTAGCCAGAGGTAATGGAAGAGAAAGGGAGATTGTGTTTTTCTCAGTTTCGGTAAGTAGAGTGGAATACTGAAGATAAAAAACACAACATCTTTTCGTGACCTCTTAATTTATTTTCATCGGCTAGACAACTTCCTATTTTGGCATCACTAATCAGTGAAGCACAAAAAGACTTAAGACGCTGGCCACAGGCCATATTTGAGCAGTTTCTAAAGGTGCAACTTGAATCTAGCAGTAGGTAAACACTGGTGGCCAGGATCCTATAGCTATTTTCAGGCTGCTATAGGTATCTTTTCCCTCATCTACTCCATCAACCAGATGTACTTAGCAATTCTCAATGGATTTCTCTTCCTAGAACTTGTCACATCTGCTCCTACACCTACATACACTCTTAAGCAAAAAATCCTTCAAAGAGGACTTTTCCATCCCAGATATCAACAGGCCAAGTTTCCTTCTGTGAAGAACCATTCCCTTCTGCTTCTTATAAATGTGGCTCTTATGTGCATATTTTCCTGCCCCTAACTAATTGCTCAAGAAGCACAAATAACTGCTGTAAACCATGACAGTGGTAATTACAGAAATTTGACAAATTGCAACTAAAACCATTATTTCATTTTGGAAAGTGAATAAAAGATCCCCTATTATTCCTCTATGCTCAGTGACCTAGGGGAAGTAAAAAAACCCGCAAACACCCTCCCCCCAAAAGAAAACCAAACTGAAACACACACACAAAATAAAGCAAGCCCAAACAAAAAACCCAAAACAGTGCCCCCAACCCTATCTCCCCCGAAAAAAAAAAAAAAAAACAGTTCCCACAACATACCATTGGGGACAGAAGAAACTCTAGAGAATAGACAGATATCCTGTCCAAACAGACAGGGCCATGTAGAGAGGTTAAGTATTAGGCAACATAAAAATGGAATTCTGAAGGCAAGTGTCAGTTCAAAGAGACACACTGCCTCGTTATCTTGAGATGCCTTCTCAAGGGGTTTTATTGCAACTCTGACAACTACAAACGAGTTACAGAAAAGAACAGAGAGAATGATAATCACAGCCACCACCCAAGAGTACAATACATACTCAGTAATCTGTTATTGACAACCTGTAGTTCCTTCCTCTAACTCTAAATGTAGCTGATTTAGAACCATTATTTTATATGGATGAGGATCTACATCATTAGAGGAAATCTATACCTCCAAAGCTGATGTATCATTCTACTGCTTGTGTGAAAGATGTCAACAGTTAAAAAAAAATAAAACAAAACAAAAGAAAAAACAAACAACCAAAAACCCAACAAACAAAGCTGATGGGTATGAAAACCCACAAGTCTGGCTCACTGACTGAGTGTTGAAGTCTGCCTACCTTTGGAGGAAAAAGCTGGCGTTTCTGAGCATTAATGACTTTCTAATCCCACACCAACCAGTTTGTCCTCAATTGGCTTTTGCTGGGAGACAAAGGTATTTTGGAGACTAACAATGCAGAACTGCCTCTGACGATCTCCAAAGTTGGGGAGAGAACACAAGTATACAACGCATTTTTTGAAGAAGTGGTTTCAAGTCCCTGCTACATTTAATTATTCTTCTGTGCCATTTTGTTCATTGCATTTTCACTCCAGAAAACCTTAGCAACTACAAAGACATGAAGCAGAGAAGCTTGAAGCTCCCTGGGGATATGACTGGTTGCATGACAACCTCAATGCACTTTGAGTAAAAACATTTAGTGCAGAGTAACTCTGGCAGGCAAAAGACTACATTTAGCAAGAACAAGTTATTTTAATTTGAGTAAGTTAATTGCTAAGGAGTGACGAAGAGCAGAAGGCGGCAAAGAAAGACCAGCTTGTGTAACCTAGAAGTACATGAGCATTGCTAGAGGAGAGAAACAGCTGTGATGCAAAGAAGGTTGAAGAACAGATTAACGGGGACCATTTCTCATAGAAGGATGTTCATCTGAGATTATGAGGCACCCTAAGTGTGGCAACCTTTCCATGCACTTTGCATACAAAAGCGTCACAGAAACTGCACACAGAACCCCATAAACCTTGAAAAATGCAGTACAGCAGCCAGGCTTTGAAAACTATGGTGTTATGTGAAAAAAATATGAAAAACTGAGGCACATCCTCACTCCCTTAAATTGAAAAAAGGAGCTGGATTCTGAGACCTTTCATCTAACACTGAGCCAAGTATTGCAATAACAGAATTTCATTGCTTGGGGCCACTTATACCCAGACAATGCCCTTCAGAGAAAAAGTGCATTGCAAAGTTTTTCTCTTTCCCTTTAGAAAGGCCTTCCAATTATCCAGCCAGCAAAATAACCAGCTGTTTAATGACCTAAGAAGCAGTCCAGGGCTCTTTGCTCCCCCCTTAGAAAGTAAGCTGAGGGGAAGAGCAATTTAACACAGTTCATAAGACTTGAGTCTTTGAGTCCTCACTCAGAGCATCAAACTCTAGAATATTAAATCAAAGTCTCTCAGTCCCAGGGGTGCATCCTGGAGGCAGTCTTGACTGCCATCAACACGATGCAAGACTTCTCACCCATCACCTTTCCATTTGCCAGTTCTCTAGGTATTCAGCCTTGCCCTAGGTAGGGAAAGTGCAGACAAAATTTCTTTGGTCTTCTGGCTTGCTTTGTTTCAGGTTTAGTGTGTTCATACAAACTACTACAAACTAGGAGATGCCATGAGAGCCAAAAGAAGTTTCATCTGCACATTCTCTAAAGACACAGTATTAGCCAAAAGGCACATATCAAAGCATGGTGCAGGAGTGAGGCACAAGCTAAACTGAGCGCTGAATTATTTACAGTTTGCCAAGGTTGCATGAGATTGTACTGTTCCCTCTTCTTGCAAAATAAAATGCTCATGATGCATTTAAATATATTTGTAATTTTGGACATTATTAGGTGCGAAGTTGCATTTGTGTTTTATGTTAGCAAAGTGGATAAGAGAACAGTTCCTTCAGTTTTACCTCTCACATTTAGAGACACTAGAACTAGATCAATGTTTCTCAGAACTGTCAGTATACTGATTATAAAGAACATCACAAAGGAAAGTATTTCCGATAATAAAAGAAACATTAATTCTTCTCTATAATATGAACTAAAGTATCAGAGTAAAATTTTGCTACTACTGTACTACCCAACAGTGATAGAGAATGACCCAGAAAATTGGATTTAATCTGAGTTAGCCAGAAAAAAAAAAATCTCTATGATTTCTATCATGCCATCAAAAATATATATTTTAATCTTGGAAAATTAATTAAAAAGTTTCTTCAAGCAAACTCTGATACACCTGGAAAGTCAGAGACATGCATTAATTTCCACATGTGTCTTTCAATAACTCTCACCACAGGAGTCGTCACTGGCTGATGTTATCCTCATTTTAACAAGCTAATTATGCCCACAGCTATCTAAATCTGAACTCTGATCATTCAGTGCAGCTAAAAGCAGCAAGAGAGCACCAATAGCATGGAAGCAAAGAAGGGAAGTATGCAGTATTGCCTCTTACCACAGTATAGATTTGAGGTTTGCGCCTTTTTGCCAGGTCAATTATGTTGACTCCATTGTAATAAAGGTTCTCAATGCATCCGTGGAAATTTTTCCTTTGAAAGGTTCCTGGTTTCCCCGGTACAGGAATACCTCCAAAACTGAGCTTTGGGAAAGAATAAGAACAATATTATTTATATATTATATGTATGTTTATATATTATATTATCATCCCAAACCCAAGACAGCAGAGCCCCACTCCATGCATCCAGCTGGGATATTATCTAAGAACCAATTCACATCAACAGAGGCACTTGGGAGCATGAACCTGGCCACCCCATAGAGGGTATCAAAGCCCCCAGAGCATTACAGCTGCTGGAGAAATGCCTCTGCAGCAGACAGCTCACCACTTTGAAACAGCTCTGAAGTGCCTTGACACATCAACCTGGTGTCACCAGCTACCCACTCAGGAACACACAATGCCCAAGGAAATGTTCACACAATGTCTAAATCACAGCCCCAGTGTCCTGAAGGATGACACCCAGCTGCAGCCCACGGTGTCCAGGAACTGCTGAGCAATGGGGGAGTAAACTCTCCCTGCCCACAGAGCACTGGATTTGCCTGCAAGCTGGGGTCACCCCTTTCTACCAGGTATGTATCTGAATAACTCTTGTTCCAGCCAGTGGAGGGTAATATCACAAACACAAAATATCTCATTTGTAGCTTGCATTCATTTTTCCTAAATTTCATTGTGCTTTGGCCTTTACAATAGTCACGTGGCATTTGGGATTGAGCAGTGTTATGAAGAAGCTCTGCAGGTTACACATTTACACAAACCCTGTTGTGTTGTTGTCTAAGAACTGGCAGATATTGGTACTGTGCAGGCTATGACTCATCACTCAACTGGAGGGCTGAAAGCCCCAAGAGGACAAAGGGCCTAAGAAAATAAAGCTTCCAAAATCAGCAAAATTGTCTAGATTTCAAAGAAAAGAAAGAAAAGAAAGAAACGGAAACAACTCCCAAACCTCACAACCCCAAATACCTTCTGATAATCCTACCTTCATTTTCCAAATGTCAGTGCTCACTTCTAATTAATTCTACCGACCTTTCTGGCAAAGCCTTACTGGTGGTACCACTGGGGTTTTATTCATTTTTCCCATCACAACCAGCAGCACTGTGAGTGTGATAATGCAGGTGAGGATCCTACAGCCACCTCACTTCACAGAAGGTTTGCTGCAGTCCTGCTCTATCTGCTGCAGTCTTGCTGCATCCACTGCAGCAAGGGCAGGCTCCACTTACATGCTGACAGCTGCTGGAACCTGGTCAACCTTATTCCTCTGTCACAACTCCTAACACCTTACTCCAGTTCATTATTACAAAATTAAAGGGAAATTTGGGTGTTATTTTTCCTCCCACTCTACGTAACAAGCTGGGATACACAAGCAAATGAAAACTCCCTGGGTAACCTTGAAAGCACTTATTTGAAAACAAGTCCTTAATGAACTTGCACCTCAGTTGTATCAATTGATCAATTCAGAGAAATAGAGAGTGAACAGACTGCTACTTGCAGGTTTGTTATTGGCATGCGGGCTTCTGTGGTAGCAATTTTTTTTCCAGTGAGAATCATTAGTTCCTCCTAAAACAGCAGACTTTCCTTCTTTCATGTTCTATTCTTAAAGTTTCCTGCTTAGGGACTCTGTACTGGAGTTTCAAAACCAGAAGAAAAATCAATATCAATTACACCATTTCATTATTAAGAAAACAGTTTCCTTTGCGATTGGTAGTAATTTTAATTACAAAAGTAGTTTTACTACTCTCAGTAAGGCTTTTAATCCCTAAAGTGTGCTGAGATAAACTTTCAGTAGACTGTATTGCTGTAATGTTTGACTGAAATATTGTCTCAGTGCAAATGGAGGAAAAACACTCTGTGAAAAACTGAGTACCAGAGATGAGGTCTGAGTGCTACAGAGGTCAGTGGTGATGCTGATTAACACCAGCTGAAGAACTTTCCTATCACGCTGTTCCTATTCTGGAACATGTGGAAAAATATTCTACAAATTAGGTTGGAGCTTGAGTTTCTCCTAATCAACATCAAGCAGGAAGCAAGGAATTTTATTACTCTGAAATTAGGAAAGCTGATGAATCAATAATTTGGCTTTTCATAACCCCATCTTAAAAGCAGTTACAGCTTTGGCCCCTGATGGTTCAGTGTGAAGATGTTGCAGAATCCCACTGCTCAAATGTGCTGTCCCTACTAAATGTGCTCATGCTTTGGTACAGCAGTGCCATGGGACAGGTACCACACTCTCCATACTGCTTTGTGAAATGCAAAGAAGGGAACTTCAGAAGATGGAGAGAGGAGAGAGCATGCACCTGCCACTGCTGAGGCATCTGCTTTTTCCCTTTGGTGTGCTGGGAAATGATCCTTCCCAGAGAAATTAATTCAAAGTGCAGAGGGGAAACTTGTGGTCTCATAAGCAACAAATCGTGCCAGCTCAACACATCTGGACAGGGTGATGGCTCTGACTGTGCCAGCACAACCCTGTGCCTTATAGGTGATGAAGACTAGGCAGACAAGCACAGGGGGACAAAAATGAACATGAGTAATTTGCTTGCAAGTGTGCATTGATGGGGGGAACAGATGAGGAACTCCCTTGCATATAGATATGAGGTTTATATTATAAGTATTTTTAAGGGTTTTTTTTAACAACTCTCAGCCATAAGCACTAAACTGATGGAGTGATATAAACTGCACTGGCACATCTTGGTCTCATCAAAGGGGTGCACAGTGGTCTCGGGGTTTGTGGGCAGGCAGGATGTTTCCTCTGCTCGGTCGTTCCTTGGCTGAGCTGCTCTGGCACCCTAGAACAGGATGCTCTGCATCACATCCCCAGATATGAAGGGACCTGGCTCAGAGCTAGTTGTTGTGAAAGTCAAAGAATCATAGAATCACTAAGGTTGAAACAAACCACCAAGATCAAGTCCAATCCAACACTGACGTAGTTTATGCTTGTAAAGTGTGAAACAACTCTCTCTGGAAAGGAAGTATTAAATAAAGATCTTTGGTGGAAGGAAACAGCTCATAGGGTGGTTGCTCTCCATCATACTCATTTTATACCAAAATTCATACCTCATTTCCCAGGTTATAACCTAAAGGGCTTCACACACCTCATAATCAATATCCAAGTGATCTGAATCCCCCTTCGTTCGGAAATGTTGGGTGTGTTTGTCCACCGTGAAGTTCACTTGCTTGTTGAAGCGTTCTATGAGAACCGAATGCCAGTGCTGGTCATCCAGGAGGCTGCCCAGGGTGACAGATGTGTGGCTGCTACTGAAGTGCAGGTTGGAGTCCCCTGAAGTAGCACAGACAGACAGAAGAGACCAGAGTTACCTCCGGGCCCTTTAACTGAAGCCTGGGAATGCAAGGGGAGCATAGAGCAGAGCTCCTAGATGCAAACTGGAGCTCTGCCCATCAGAAACAGCCCTTTCCAAAGATTGCCTTAGATTCTTTTGGCCTCTTATACACATACATGTGTTTATACCCACAGGCACACATTTTTTTTGTCGTGAAATACTTGTGATGAACCAGGAGGTGGTACTGATGCTGCACCCGCACATTGCCGCACGCGGGATAATTGCTCTGCCTGTACTCTTGGTTCTGTCACGCATTTGAGGCTCACATGGTTTAAAAGCTTCCTTCAGGTAGCACCAAAATCTCCTGTCTAGTCACATTAACAGACCACTTCTGACACTTGAGTGTCAACTATGTGCTTTCCGTATTTTAACAAGAAAATTGCACCTGTCCATTTTCACAGAAAAAAAGAAAGGCACAAGACAGTGAAGAAAAAGAGTGCAAAGTGTTTTGTTTAGTTCAAAAACATTCTTAAACCTGGGCCAGATCTCCAAAAGTATAGATCAAGAATCATAAAAATATTTAAGCCTTAACTTAATAATTTCAAGTACTCTTGTGTTTTCTGGCGGACTACACATCTGAACACTTCAGAGCCTCTCACTGAAAGGGAGTATGCATCCTTTTTTATGTTCCAGCAGAATGGAGAGAACACATGCTCCAACACTGCCAGGCAAGATGCAAGCAGATTTAAGAGCAGATATCAAAACCCTTGCCCATGACATAGGAATGCACACAGAGAACTTGAAATGGCTAAAAGATGTATATTTGGGGCTACAGCTGAAGAAAAAAAAACCTCTTCTCAGAATATGTATTCACAGCAGTATCCCCTCTGGAAGAAGTGACATAATATAATTAACAGTACTATATTCTTATCCCAATATGAAACATTTGTGAGAGGAGGACAAATCAATAGACTCAAAGATTCCCACATTCAGAGGTTCAGGATGCAGCTACTTGGTCCACAAACATCCAAATCCCAAATAAAAAAAAATGCTGCATTATCATTTCTACTCTTTGATGAAAAAAAAAAAAGAGAAAGAAAACACAAGTTGGAGACTAAACAATTAATGAGCTTATGTAAAAATAAAATCCAACAGCTGTGGAAAATCATTACTGACTTTTAAAACAAACATAATTAAGCACAAGGGGAAAAGTGCCCAACTCAAACCCCTCACTACAAGAAACATGAGTCATTAGAGATTGCTGAGGCCAGTACCATGGGTCACCCACAGATGAAGCTTGTGAAGATTCTGCAAGAAGGCTGGGAGAGGGGGTAGGATAATTCCTACTACAGTAGCTCCTGCCATTATCAAAGTGCTGTAGTGTATTAATCAAGAGAAAAATCAAGCATACTTTTACAGGGAGAAATTAAGCCAACCTTTCATCTGTCAGTCTGATCCAACATGATCATACACTGATGGCCTTACAGATATTCAAAGTTTTCAGGAAGGAAAGTTATAACAGTGTGCACAATCTTTTGACCAGAATGTTTTCATTAAAATTTTGTATTCTCAGCTCATTTCTGAATCAATGAGCGAATGGAAAAAAATTAGACACAAATAAAAATAAACCTTTTGTACTCCAAAGCAAACTTCCTGGGAATGCTATTCTTAAAAATTATACCAAAAAAAAAAAACCCAAACAACCCAAACAAATAAATAAAATAATGATGCCTTGGAGTTTCGATTTTTTAATTTTTGTAGATTTTAGAAGTAGTTATGTAGTAAATGTAGATTTTAAAGTGGCAGCATATTATCCCTTTACCCTTTAACACACCAGCTACACATAGTAAACCCTGTTACCCATTCCCATATCAATTCCCCTAAATTCCACTAGCCTGTTTAGTCTCTTTTTCAAGGTAGAATTGTAGAGAACATCCTAACCCTAAGGAAGAAGATATAGCCCTAGATGCAACAACCTTCAGGCCTAGAACTCTGGAAGGCCTCCAAGAACATAACATACTCTGAGGAAGATGAAAATGAAGAAGAGGGGGTCCCAAAACGCTCCCAGACCCAATTCCCAAGAGGTGTGGCGAGGGCAGAACCTGGGTGGTGGCCAGACGAGGATTGGGTGAAAATCATTATAAAAACCGTGAACATCTGTATTCCAGAGCGCAGGTTGGGGGTATTCCAGAAAGCTTGGGGGCTCATTAGAGCCTTTGCATTCTTATCTTATCTCCTACCTAATTTGGCTTGGAGTCTTTTTTTCCCCGCAGCCATTTAGGCAACAATAACAACAACAAAAAAAGGATGTTGGGGTTTTTTTTATTTGGATTGGTTTTTGGGGTTTTTTTGGGGGGTTGGTTTGTTTGTTTGATTTTGTTTTTGTTTTGGGTTTTGTTTGTTTGGTTGGTTGGTTTTTTTGTGATTTTTTAAAAATTTTTTTTAATCACTGCTTGAAAACAACAGCAAGCAAAGGTCAAAAGAAGTCATTGAGCAGTTCAGCCTTGGTCAACACTAGTCAGAAGAGCCAAGGTATCTTGGCTCAGCTATCACATCCTGCATGTCATCAGTCAGGTGTGTTCTGTTTTGCTTCCTCCCTAACTTTTCCGAGTGTTATTTTAGCTGTGAGCTGCCTAAGGCACACACCATGTTATGTTGGTATCATCTAGAGCTTCCAGATACTGTCCAATAGAAACAGTAGATTTATAAAAATAAACCAAGTAACATGCAAACCAATAACCCTAATTACCCTTACCCAGGTTGATGTGCAAGGAGAGCTTCCCTTTCTGCAGTTCCAAGGTAATGTAGTCTCCCCGCTGTCCTTCTCCATGGAATAAGACTCCATCCCCCTGCATGCTCTTGAACTTCAAGGAAACCACATCTTTGAATGTGCTCATAAGCTTCTGATTAAACCTGTAGAGAAGTGAACTTCTGCCATCAAAGTCTGCAATGTCTGACTCTGGAAGAAAGAAAAATGACAGAATGACAAGGAGGGGCAGCATCAGGAGAGGGACTGTATTTTTTTCAGGATCTTTTCACCTTGGGGCCAGGTATTGTCACAAGCATAAATCCACAGGACATATGAGTCATTTGGGCAACCGCATCTCATCCATCTCCAGTCCTCTCTCCCTCTCTCTGGGGAAGGGGACACTAGGATAAAACCAGAACTCCTCTGTGCCTGCCTTCCTCATGCAAGATTTCTGTCTCATTTAACTTTTTGGAACATAACAGGTGCCTTCCATCATATTCAGATTTCCAGAGCATCCCTTACCACATTTGCTGTTCATCTCAACTACATTCAGGATGTTATTCATTAGTTAAGCACTTCAGTGTGCACTCCACTTTTGTAGCTTCACAAGTGTCTGTTGAGCTGTTCCTGCATGTCAGCCATGACTGCACCCACCTCTGCATTCAAATAAGCATTATCTTTGCCTCTGAGGGTTGGCTGCTTGCTTGTGATTGGCATTTATCAACAATGTTTCTGCATGCAAATTGAGTAGGCTGGCAGGAATAGTTAAATATCAGTTCAAAAAGCTTTTGAAAGGATTTCAGGGGAACTGGGGATCTAAACTGATTATACACCTTTGAAAATCGTATTAAAAACATATTTTCCCCTTCAGCCAGCCTCTAAAAACCACTGTGGTAGGAAACAAACCTTCAATTCCTCAATTGCAATTAATATTTTCTTTGGCAGCATCAGCCTGCAGTACTCTCTTGACTTTATAAAGTGGTCTTTTAAGCAAAATGTATTTTTAAATAAATTTTTAAAATATATATGTGTATATATAACCAGAATATTTTCGGTAGCTTTAAATACTTTTAATTAATATGTTGCATAAAAACATCTGACATACCTAAATTCAATTCCAATTTCTATCCAACTGCAGTTTGACACAATTTATGCATAAAATATCTACTTGTAAATTATAACTTTGTCAATTGTTATTTCCGGTTTTTAAGAAAAATATTAAAAATTAAGAATAGTAGACAACGAAAATCTGACCAGAGGTTTACTAAGCCACATAAATGCTGGGATACATGTACAAAGACAAATAATACCTTCCTAGTATTCAAGAAGAAAGAGCATAGACTACCTTTGTTTGTAAACCACATGTTTTAATGATAACCCAAAACTATCAATTTTCCACTTCCCTCTTAAAGGTAACTGAAAGGTCCATACAATCAAGGATTCCAGTCAGCGACTGTATTGTGATTAAAGTCAGTGATTTAAGTCACCTAAGCTCCCTTGAGAGTTCTTCCATCCTTTTAGGCGTTAACGGTAATATCATCTGCTCCTCTTTAAAAAACAGAAATAATAGGACCTGGGGGTATCAACCTTTTTTTTTCTTCTTTTTTTTTTCTAACTGGATGAAAATTTAAAGAGGTTAGCAGTTAAAAACTATTATAAGCTCAAAAAATAAAACACCTGTTAATAATTTGTTACCATGGAAACTACCATCAAAAACTTCTGCCTGTCAGTATGATGGTTTTTACGGAAATCTGATGGCACACTTACAAACTTGCAGAGAGCTCAAAATTTAAATTTGATGCAAAATTCTGTAACTCCAAAACTGAATTAATTCCAAATCAGAAGGCAACTGATTATTTTTTATGAGAATAAAACTACAAAGAAACTAAATCCTGTAGAAAATTCACTCCAGAATAAACTAAGACCAACTTCTTATCTGTGATGGCAGAATTGTAACATGCTGTTTAGCATAATTTGTGGAACAGTTGGTAGTTTAGGGAGTATCATGAATATTCATGCCATCTGCTTTTATTGTTTTTAACTCCTGAATTAGGTGTTCAGAAACAGCTCCTTCAGAATTTCTGATTTCCCTCTATTGACACCTTGAATGCCAGTTTCTATAACGGTAATTAAATTTTTAGTTTAGTTTTTATGAATTTCCCCTAGCTGCATTAAAGGCTTCAATTTGTTTAAAGTAAATCACAAATGTACTATAAAAATGCTTCCATCTTAACACAGGCAGGAATTAGGAAGCAGTTTATAATGAATTTACAGTCTCCGATTTCCAGAGCATTTTGCAGTTGAAAGTTGGTTTTCCTCCTATCTCTCAAAAACGAAGATACTGTAAGAGTAAGGGTGCACTGATTGAATGTTGCCCTAAGAACAGCCCTTTTTTTCCTTCTTCTTCTTCTTCTTCAGTCCGTGTTCTTAACTCTCCACTAAGCCACAAAATAACATGATTTCTTGAAGAGTTCTACTACTGATATTCACAAAGTATAACACAAAGGAAAACCTGCTTCGGAAAAGTTCTCCTTCACTAATTATCACTTGTGAGCACCCCGGCCAATAAATAGCCCTGAACGAAATGGGAAGATGTTAGATAAATGCTAACCCTTCAGGGAAAAGTCGTTAGTGGCAGTTTGCATGACAACAAATCTTTAACTTCTTGTTAAGAACAGCCACTCCAGAAAACCCACTTAGTGTTTACTTACTGTTTATTTAGTCCCTGTATGTCCATAACCCACTTATAGCATGAGAATGAGGATCAGAAATGTTTCAATTTTCATAAAAACTGTAGTAAACTAAAACACGTGATTTCATTCTGCACTGCCTGCTGGTTTATTTAAGCTCCTTGAAGACAGATTTTACTCTGTTTGGGTCTTTTCTTCACTGTCCTCATCAAAAAGGCTGTTGACAGGCTGGGAGCAATATGAGAGCATAGAGTTTACTTGTGCAGCAATCTGCTCCCAGCAGCAGAGAGGATATACATTCGTACTAAAAAAGACTGTCCTCTTAGTGATATTGGAAAAAGTGAACACTTTGGTAGCAAAGATATTCTGCAACAGGAATAACTTTAGGAACTGTTGCCATGTGAGACAGAAATTTTTGGTCTTGCACCTGCACCACTGATTGGAAGCTTTAACTCCTGGCAGAATGGAAAAGGGCTGCTCCTGGTTTGAACAAATGTCTCTCCTGGCCAGTCACAGCTTACTGGCTTGAGTCACCCTAAAGCAATCTCTATCTCCCTCTCCAAAATCCCCTCAGACATGCAACCTGAGGGATGAACATGGAAAGAGCACTTCAGAGGTGACTGCTCTGCTATGCAGCTTTATCCCTATCACAAATCTATGCTTCTTGCTTAGCAATTGTTTAGGTATTTACCTTATGCATTTGATTACAAACACTACTGGTCAATGACCGTGAGATATTAAGCAGTTCTATGCAATGAGTTCTTTTTCTATCTCACAGAAAGACAAGGGAGAGGATGGAGGAAGGTGGGGAAAAAAAAAAGTTCCGGTAAAAATGTAATTTAATCAAAAAGCACAATATCAGTTCATATTTCCTAAAGCAATGACAGCAAAATATGAGAAATTAGAGTCCTGAATGGCAAATGAAGAACTTTGCTCTCAAAAGCAAAAGACACCTTGTCTCACAGCATATCACTGTTTCTCCTGTAGTATCCCAGCCTATTAACTACACATATACCCAATTCTGCTGATGCCATTAACCAGTTATAGAATATGATCAGCATCTTCAATGCAGCTATATATCTTATCCTACAAAAGCAATTGTGTCAGCAGATTTTTTTTTTCCCGTGCTAAACTAACAAGACTTTTCCCAAGTATAAAGTTATAGTCGTTGCCCCTCGCCACCTCCAGCATCAAAAGCAATTGGTTTGCCATTTATCTCAGCTCATCCTCTGCTGCAGCTCTGCTTATCTGTAGCAATCACTCTGCTGAACCAACTGCTGCAAAGGGACAGCTTACACACACTTCTGCATGGAACTTTCCATTCAACTCATCATAAATCCTTTTCTGAACAAGAAACATCAGTGTATGTTTTCAGATCAAGATCATCTTCCTATTTCAGTACCTATTTTGAGGATGCAAGATGGAGTCATTACAGGAATTTCAAATAAATGTGGCTAACATTCATTTAAATACATGCTTTCTCTACAAGAAAGTATACAACAATTGGCACAAAGTATCTGTGAATTCCAGCTTTTTTGGTGGTCTTGGAGGGCTTTACTCACAGGAACTTCAATCTGCAGAGGATAGTATCAGACACAATTACAGTCTGAGATAATTTTACTGTTAAAAACATGTTTTATATTCCAAAGACACAGTGTCGACTGGCACCCAATTAGAGAGTGAAAAGATAAAGGGAAAAAGTTAAAAAAAAAAAAAAAAAAAAAAAAAAAAAAAAAAAAAAAAAAAAAAAAAAAAAAAAAAAAAAAAAAAAAAAAAAAAAAAAAAAAAAAAAAAAAAAAAAAAAAAAAAAAAAAGGCAAAAAAGCTTGTTGTTTGACAGGGAGGTTTGCGGAATAAATTCACAGTAAATTGTTTCTAGCTAGAGCAACAAACAATGGCAAGTGCTATTCATTAGCACAGTGCCATCATATGTTAAGTTAGCCACTTTGGCATCTAATGCACATAGCATGATTCCTCAGTTTATTTTGTTGCTATGTCCTGGCAGAACATTTGGTGACTTACAAGATCTGATAACCTCTACAAAACAGTCATCATTGAGAGCTGCATTTGCAAAAATTAGCACAAGATTGTGTTCCTAGGACTTCTGGAGCAGAGGACAGTCATACAGAGAAAGCATGGATAATAGAGCCTTCAGATGCCACAAGACTGTCACATTCACCTTAAAAGCAGCAGTGAAGCCACAAAACTCTCCTACAGCTGTCAGCTTCTACTCAAATATGCAAGGTTAAAAAGGAGCTGATGTGAGGAGAGACCACCCAAGGAACCACATACTATTTTGCACACCCCTGGTGTATCACAGTGAGGTGCTCAGCTGCTTGTTTGGATGTACTTTCAGGGTTTTAGCAGATGTGGAGCAGCACATGAAATTCACATGGTCTAACCTGCCCATGTACCCAGACTTCTGTTTCAGCCAACCAATGAATGCTGCCACTCACACAAAAACGATTTTCAGCTCACCTGTAAATGAAAACTATTTCTGCATTTTTCTGCCCCAGATATCACTACAAAGCAACTTTGTTTTCAGATCAGGTTTTGTGCTTCAGAGGCAACTTTTGCTTGTAAGGTGGAACGGACAGCATCATCTAAATTTCACTTTGCTTCTACAACCAGGTTTAGAGGTAGAAATGACCCCACAGTCACACATGTACATTTGTGAAAAAATCTATTCACATGTGTTCTCCATGAACATATCCTCTTTAAGACTGCATCCAAAACTAAAATGCTGGGACAAATCCTTCCTTTGACTTTAGTGGACTTACAATCAAATACTTGGGGTTTGTTTACCTATAGAAACCCTTAAGTCATTCCAGCAGCTCAAAGAGAATTGGGCATAACTGGGAATTTAGCTCTTACAGATGGACCTTCTTTCATATATATTTCTGTATACATACAGACACCTTCATGAGGATGGTTCTTTAAGCTCAGTTTCCCTCCTGGCTTATTCAACAGCCTCTCTCTAGTAATACAGTTTTTGTAATTTTTATAAACTTTTTTTCAGATTATTAATACATTTCTTGTGCTAGAATTGAACATCGTGAATGAGTCTGTGTGCTGTCAACATTACATTACAAAATGCAGTTACATAGGTGCAGCTCAGGAGCAGATATTCTGTCATTATAACACTAAAGTTGACATTTTATAAATGACTGAACATCTTTTGTACAGTGCAGTAGTGTCTGGGTTAGAAATAGCCAAGATGGTGAAAGCCAGTCTTGTAAGACAGGTATTGCTTGGCCTATGCAATTTGCCAGAGAGAAATTTGAATGGTACGTTTATATAAATGGAATGAATATTTCAACACTCCGTAAATCTTTTATGAAGCCCTTTATTTCTTTTTTTTAATCTCATACCTTAATTCTGCACAAGCACTTTTATTTCCTGTAACTGCAGGGTACAGGAGAAAGATAAAGACTTAGGTGATAGCACAAGGTAATTCAGCCTGTGAGTGACTCTGAAATCTACTTTGTATCATATCATCATCATCATGGCTGGGCTTCATGAACGAAGATTTGAGAGGGGCTCTACCCACGCTTGCTACAGGTATCCTGATGGCTAAAAAGGCCAATGCGAGATAGACTTTGTATCATATAAAATACAACTAATGTGGCATGAAAGTAGTGTTCCTGTAGTATATCACATGGACTAGAACCAGAACAAATTCAGCCACAAAACTTTCAACCTTCGGTTCAAGTTCTATTTGTTCCTCACCTGTTTGGACTATACTCTTCACTGCAGAGATTTGTGCATCGTTAGCAGAAGTAAGCTCTTGAAAACAGATTAGATGGCAGCTTTGAAATTGTCATCAAGGGCAGCTGATTTTGAATTATAGGTTTCAGTTTACATATTCATTGGTTCACCTGGAAAAAGTCTCTTTCCCTAATGACAAAGCATCTAGACCAGGCTGTTTCAGATCTGTACTTAAATGATAGTACCCAGTGCCTGAGCATCAAAGTAGGTGGAGAAGCAGCATTTAAAAGAAGTTGAATGCATCTTACAGACCTACATACAGACCATAACAATGATCTTCCTGTGAAACCATGCGAATCAGTCCTAAGATCTGAGTGCAGTGGTGAGGCCACTTAGAGCCCTGGAGCTGTGTCGCTGTTCAGTGAGATCATGTGAATCAAAAAGTTTAACAAACTTTGCTCTTTGATTCTGCTTAGATGAATTTAGGTTGTCTCCCAAATATGTTTATACTTATTCTCTTACAACCTCTTTTCTGCACCTGGGAGGAATAGATAAGGAGTAAGCTAAATGAGGAGATGTACAAGTACAATAATATCACATGGTGGTGACTTGTGTCACACCACGTTGAAATTACTGGTAAAGCGCTCTTAATTCTCTGAACTCTCCTGAGCAAAATCTCACCTGTCTCCAGCAGTGTCTCAAGTCACATTTGACCATTTCACAAATAAAACCAGAGTCACCTGAGAAACAAACACCCACTGGACTTGTGTTTCCTCATGTGTGAACTTCTATTTTGCTTTCTTTTGCTTTACAATCACACAGTTCCATGGTGAAAGGTCATACATCTGAAGCACTATACCAAGACACGTTGCCAAAATGCCCCACGGCAGAAACATTTATAGGCTGATCCAGAGCCCATGTGACAAAGCACTACAGATCATGTCTTAGAGGATCATCATCACTTGGTGGCCAAAGAAAGCACTCATGCAAAGGCAAACAAAGCAGCAGAAGAGTTCTCTGCACTCTGGAGCCATAAAACATGGGCCACAAATACAAGTACTAGCTGCACAACCCACAGCGCTTCCCTCAACATCTAGTTAACGTGCCTTAAAAACAAAAATGAACTGTTTAAACAAATATAGCCCTAAAAAGATCCCAATTAGGTTTGTGTTCTCCAGTGGGGTGGGAGGTTTTGCAGCATGTGACTGCCTTGCACTTGCAAGAAGCAACAAATTGATCTGTGGTGGGCTCAGCTCTAAGAAAGCTTCAGCAGCTGAGCTTGATAGGCCGGCACATCCCTGAGCAGAAAGGCAACAACTACTGAAAAAATGAATGATGGCAAATGCATTTCACATTACATTCTAACTCATAAAAATTGCACTGCACTCTTTCAACAGCACTGCCAGCATCAACAAAAAGCTCTTTGAGAAAATGTGGGTTAAGATGCAGCCACTTACTATAGGAGCAGCCGAAGGCCTCAACTCTCAGCCCTATCCGCCCTCCGACATTCCACTTCAGAGGGACGAAGCGCAGGAAGCGAGTTTTCAAGGAGTGCAGCAGCTTGTGGTGAACCACACTGTCAGCATTGCTGTTCCCTGTGAAAACCTGGAAGGACAGAGAGCCTTAGTGAGACATTTAGCAATGAGATGTGAATGCAGCACTCTGAAAGAAGGCTGTGAGCAGCAAACCCTCTTTTCAATTCTCAGTTTCACTAGTTACTCAAAAATATTTAGATTGATTGTCAAGTTTTCTTCTAAGTGCTGCATCTCTTATGGAGGGCGATGAGGGAGACAGCAGCGCAGAGAACACATTGGCACAGTAGGGGGATGTATACAGGGAGTAACAAAAGCAGGTTGTAGATGGGGATGCTACAGAAGATGCTGCACAATTTCTCCCAGCCCAGGATATCCCTGTACATGATAATACTCCATCAACCTCTAAAATACCCAAAGTCCCTTTAACACAGTGAAGAACAGGGCCAGATTTAGCCTTTGGTGCCTTCATGTATAGCAAATGATGGTCACAGACCACTGAGGTTGTCCAGAGACTGGGAAGATGAACAGAACTGTATATATATAGATATTCAACAGAAAACTCAAGAAAGACACAGGAAGAAATAAAAGCCTGAGTCAGTGCACAGGAGAATCAGCATTTGACTGTGTTTGTACCCAAGAGAGTAAAAGCTTCCAACAATAGTCATTTAACTTTTTTACTTACCTATTTGATTAGTTGCCTACAACCGCAAGCCAAAATTAATGACCCTGTTTAGAATTATCACTTAACAAGAGCAAATTCTCTCATGGATGAAGAATGACCAAGGGATTGCAAAGACAAACATAAGACAAGCATCCAAGCTGTATTTCTGCCTGAATAATTTTCAGTTCATCTTTACACCCTTACTGTGTAATATTGGCCCAGGAATATCACAGACTTTCTGAAATCTTCAGAACATTGAGTAACTCAGTTAGGACTGAAATTTGAAGCTAACAGTTTTGCAAAACATGAAAACCAAAGAAAAACAAACAAACATAAAAACACCATAAAAATCCAAACAAACAAACAAACAAACAAAAAACCACCCAAACCAAACCAAACAAACAAAAAAACACATCACAGGAGAGCCATATTTGTTAAAGAGGTCCTTTGCTTTCTAAGTATAAAATTTCATTACAAAAAGTTGTACCAGTTTTAAATACTTAAAAAAACGGGCACTATTTACTTACATAATGCAACTGTAACCAAAAATTGAAATAAGCCCATTAAAGCACACATACAATTTGTTTCTGATGGCTGAAGGCTGAGTTAAAGGGCTTAGAGGTTTCACCTCCACTCAGAAATTTAACAGTGCTTAACAGTGTCACAGCTGTTTAAATTTTTACTCAAATGCAAGCATTCTAATTTTTTTTCCAAATGTTATTACTGAGGGTGTAAAACTTCAAATTCAGTGTATTCCTTTTTTAATGAAACCAGCATTCAATTGTTTTATTAGAACATTATCCTGAATATATATATATATCATACAGCAATATTGTGACACACAGGTCTCTGTTGTTTTTTCTTCGTAATCCTCTCTTACACAAGGCTGTCAATACTGCACATTGCTTGACAAGCCCACAAGGTAAAAACTTTTTGGTTTATGTAAACCCCAAAACATTCTGGGAGAAAATCACCTTGTCTCCAGATGTATCTCCTTGCAGTTACAAGTAAGGGGAAGTAGGTGATTTGCAAATACCACTGTGTGCCTAACAGCCCACAAATTCCTGCTTGAAAGACAGATATGAATAGCAGTCCTTGCCAGCACATAGTAGGATGCTGGGATCAGTGGCCCCTGGCGACTTCAGGACTGTAGAGACAGTTCACAACTACCTGTAACTGCTGGTAAGGGCAGTGGTGACTACTTTGTGGTTCGGCAAACCAGCTGTAAAGACATGTTTTACAAATCTTTTGCAAACTGCACGCTTAAGCATAAGGCATAGGAGCATCACCTCTGTTTGCACACACAGAGGCTGTCCCTGCCTCCAGGCAGGCGAGGTGTCCAGCACACTTCAGGGTTGTGCCATCAAAGGAGGCTGTGGTTTTGCCAGGTAAAACTGACTCAGCTGTACCCCACCATTTGCAAGCTGCCTACCTGCAGGCATCTATGCTAGGTAGTTTTCCTCAACACCTCAAGGAAGAGGCAGAATTACCCACATTCAGCCTCCAGATTAGTTCATTCCAAAACTGATATGCAAATATGTAAAAACATCAAAACAGTCATATTGGTAAAAATAAACTATTCAGAAGTCCAATGCATCCCTTACAGCACTTTCCTCAAGCTTCTCTAATAACCAAAAAGCTAATGACACTTTTGGGGTAAAGAAATCCACAGGCAATGTTGTATGTATTGATCTGCACCTATGAGATGGCTCTGTGCACAGCTGGCACATCCCTGCTTGCTGCTAACTGCTGGGTGTCACCGTGTATGCCTCCAGAATTGCTTTGATTTTCACTTCCAACTCCCACTGCTACACAGATCACCTTCTCATGCTTTATGGACCACCTGTGGGTTGTAGACCATTGAGTGAATAACACCAATTGCCACAGATGGTCACTTGAAAACAGATCCACAGTTGACACAGAAATAATCCATCCATTAAAGAAGATGATACTAGGATGCAGTACCAGATTTTGTAGCCCTGGAGGTTCAAATATTGATTAACAGTAAAATTATTGGTGAGAATGGCAGAAATATGTCCTCTTGAGAAATGGCCTCTATTACAACTTATTGTTGATAAAAGCATTAATTCCCAGGAATAAAAAAACAAACAAGTTTTGTTGCAGAAAACAAAGAAGCTGTACACCATTTACCCTGCAACACAGTTGCTCTGGGAGGGAGCATAACACTGAAATCTGTGTCTTTTAACAAGCCCTGCACTGATCAAGACTGATGATTTACCTGGGAAATTCTGCTTCTGGCATTCTACGGGGCTTATAAATCAAAAAGGCTCCATTAGTGGCAAACATTGCCACCAGCTTCTTGAAGGCAAAAGCTTTTCCCCGGTGCCAGTGGCTGCAAGGTTAACAGCTTGCCATGGGCAGGGCTGCCTCTCAGACCAAGCTTGTTTCACAATGCCTGGCTGCACGGTGCTCTGCTGTGACACAGACCATGGCACCACAGAAATATTTTATGAGACTTTTTTTATGAGCCAGCAAAGGCAGGTCCCACTGGCATGAAGAGGTGAGGTAAGAGCAGCTGCAGTGGTTTGGAACGGGGGCCAAATAGCTCAGTGTTGCCTCTTTGGCAGCAGCTGTCAGCATGTAGGGAAGAATGAGAATGAGACAAGCATGTAGAATGCTTTTCCCAGTGCTCAACTCACCTAGCTCGTGGATTACAGTGAAGTGAAACGAAATAGAATTCCAGTTTAAATGAAAAAGAAAACTTTCAAAAGAAGTTTAAATCTCAAAACAACCGTTCTTACCTGGAATTTGCATGCATGACTCCCTCATGAAAAACAACCATTCAAATAAATGGCCTATTTTTACAATTCTCCCATTTAAAGGGATCCCAAAAGCTTTTCAAGAGCAGCTCAGGAAAATGTCACGCAACTGTGGTGAAATATGACAGTTGTTTGATAACCCTGCAGACACACATTTATTTCTTTACCTCATGCATTAATTCAGAGCTATGCCAGATCACACCAGTGAGATCTGATGTGCTTCAGATTGCCCTTTGGCCAAACTCGTAGACTGGTCTCCACCTTCAGACAGACAGGTGGAAATTGGGTGCAAGTAAAATGTCTGCTCATGAAAGCCTAATCAATCCAAAGGACAGGATCAGAGGCGACGCTTTATCTCAGTCTCCCTTGCATGAACTCTCTGCGCACCAAACGGCAACTTATTTACAGAGCTGCAGAAGGTGGTTGCTGTAGTGGCTCTGCTGAATACATTTTGCTCTCCCACTTTGTTAGGCAGGTAATGGGATGGGTTCAAAATGAGTATGCAAGCAGCAATATCGGCACAATCACCAGCCCTGAACGGTGAGCAGGCAGACCTGAGGTTAACAGTCTTCTAGGGGAGATATTTTAAGACATATTGAAAACTCTCATTTCTGCTCAAGTAACTCTGATGAACTGAGTCGAGGGAAAAAAATAATCTGATTATAAATGTGCAGAGGGCATATAACACAGATGTTAGCAATTTACAACATTTCAACCTTCACGAAAAGAAATACAAGCACAGAAAAGAGCGCTCCACCTTCAAATCTCACCTGTGACATCACAGTATGCTGCCTCCAGTGCCTGCAGAAAGACAGGAGCACACTAAATTCAAGCTATCCAGAGCTTAGTGAAGGAACCAAAGTGAGATAAAAAGCAGCTAAGCCTGTCGTAAATCCCAAAACTGCAGTACTTAAAGTAAAACAATGTCATTCTCCCCTTTAAACTTCCTTAACAGTATGAGAAAGATCAGAAGCCAGGAGTTTGAGCTGTGATGCAGAATATGCTTCCTGGTGAACACCTCCCAGGATCTCCTCAAGTATTTGAGTGTACATGCACCTTAAAGAAAGCATGAATTTTCAATGAAGAAACAATACAAAAATCTGAAACCAAGTTATGTTATGGGTCCTACATCTCTGTTTGTATGTATGGGAAGAGATTGAATGCTACCACGACATGGTCACAATACAGCCACAAATGCACCGTATGGAGACTCAGCAGCCTCTGATTTTATTGGGATGTTACAGGGTTTCTTTTCATGGAACAATTATACAGCATCAGTGCCTACTTGCAACACATTAAGTGTGGAGAGGTTTGTGGTGACTTTTGGAACGATGAAATTTTAAATTTAAAAATACATTTAGATTTTGATGCAAAATGAAACTAGCTGTCAGTTTGGACAATTCTAGAAACATCCTAGCTCTGTCTCAGCCCAGCCCTAAAATACAAAAAGATATAAAAACAAAAATATAACTTCAAAGTCTAAATGTTCTTTACATATATATATATATATATTTAAAAAAAAATTCAGCATGCCTACACCCTGTGCATGCCAACAGTGAAAAATGCTGCTTTGATTATGTAATGGAAAAAGTCCTGTCTAATACATCAAGCCAGAGCTGTTAATATCTT